AAAGATATCGATATTGATTGTCTCTTGTCTTCCCCACACGCAGCTGTACCTTTATCCTCGATAAAAATGATAATAATATTTATGTGGTATGACTCTAACCAATAGGGTTCTACAGCGCTCTCGCTACCATTCTCACATCCGCCTTCATACATACTTGTTTATGACTGCCAACTACGTGCAGTTTAACCACTATTGTCCAATCGGGTCAACATCACATTAATACTAAGCTACATCTACCTTGAATCGTGCTCACATGCCATTTGCTCAACACAAATCTGTAAATCATCAAACCAATTAGTCACATGTCATGTATATAGGTAACACACTGCACGTCCTCACAACTCCAGAGTTCGCATATTACGCTCACCAATATTTCTTCTAGTTCAGATGGTGCCATGTCAGACGAAGCGACTAGTCGGTGCATGGTCCTCCTTTTCTTGTACGACGAGATCACTCAAGACTGGAATGGTTCGATAAAGGTGGAGTGTCACTTTAACATATCAAGCGAGTACGACTATATTGAGACGGTCGACGAGTCCCTTGTTTGTCGGTTGGAAGTAGAGTGCAAACTACGTGATGGCTAAGGCTGTTGTGTCAGAGATGATGCAATGTTGCGATGACGTTCGCGCTCTTTCGATGCAAAACATGCGTCTGATGAACAGGGTTGCCGAATTGGAGGTTGAAAGCAGGCGTCTGAGTCTCATACATCACATAACATGTAAACCGATTTCATTACTCATTTTCATATTTGTTATATTCGTCCTTTATTTAATGCTAATGTGATATCTAGTACAAACTACTTGGTTTTGTGGCCGTTTTGTAAATGTATAATCCGAAAAAATGGTGTTCGCTTGGAGTATGTGGTATCAATTTTTCTATTGTCTTTTATTTAAACTATTCTATATTAGCTACAGGACTGTGTCGGAAAAAAAAAAGAGCATAGCAAATCGATCTGAAACCTGCATGTTGTACACATAAAATTAAACCTGCTATACCACATGTATCCACCGATGCATTGGACGCGTACTAGGATCGATAGTCCTATATAAGCCGAACTAGTATTGGTTGCATTGATAATGTAGGGTTCGGTAGGTGAACCACCAGCAGTGCATTTATTAATAAGAGACACTCATGCAACTATACCTAATCCTCCAATTCATCCATTTCTTGATTTCGTTTAACATTTTCTTACTATTATACTAACTCGTTACACCGTGCTTCGCACGTTAGTATGATCGCTATATCGTTCAAGCGATATGTATCGACTTTGTCACCGTAATCGATTGGATATCCTATCTAGGTCTCCCATGATATAGGTCCATCTATCGACGCATCGTATCGGTAACCAGATATTGTTCAACCGACTTGTGTCCACTCACTCTTCACTTAATAGTTGGTATGCGTTCGTTGTTAACGAATATGGTCATTCACGGATCCTGATATGTATGAAGTACGAAATAACAATTTTCAGAAGCATGAGCCTGACATAGTAAAGGCGTAAACTACATAGCTGTGACGTAACTTAGGCATTCGAAATTGCGGTGCAATAGGTACAGTAACAATGCAGGGTAAAGAAAGAAGCAACTACATGACCAAGTTGTTGAACCGAACGATAAACGTGATGAAACATACAATTTAGAAAAACTTGAAATAGTAAAAAATACACGTCTAAGCAAACACCTAGATGGGAGAGCGAAGGAAACATGTAATTAAAAAGTTAAGGACTAGTAGTTTGTCTAGGCCTCCTCGTCGTCCAGTTTGACTCCCGCATCAACTAGACGACATTCAAGATCCTCCTCCTTCCTTCCGAGTTCCTCTTCCCTCACCATCTAAAGCATTGACTCATTCAATGCTAATTTCATATGCACGTCCTTTATTCTCCTCTCGATCGCTCGTAGGGCATCCATTGCCTTCTTTATAACGTTTGCCTCGTTGTTTGCCACATCAGATGTCTACGCCGAGGGGTTGGAAGTGCTGTGGCTTCTCATACGTTATATACACATTGAATACGTAGGGTTTGGTAGTTCAACTGACAGAATTGCATTTACTTTCCCACCAGCGAGCTTTCCGAAATTAGGAAATCTGAATCATTTATTCTTATTGGGATTGTCAAATGTTTACATTTTCCATAGTCTAATGTCGAATTCTGTCCTTAGCAGGTTTTCAATAGTCTGGTGGTATTGTCGGGTCGGGTTGCTGATGAAATTAACCACCTCCACTGCCACTATGCCCCTCGGGAGGAGCTGGAACAGGCCATTTCTTCGTTGAACCAGGCCAACAGCCTTCTGGAGAGTACCCAACGTGAGTTGGAAATGGAGAAGAGAAAATCTCGAGACGAGGTAGCTAACCGTCAAACGAGACTTGACGAGGCCAACGCTCGGCTCTCTAACTTTGAATTCTTGGCCGGAGAATTCAGGAAAACTCAGGAGTACGTCGACCTGCAAAATTCTGCCATAGAGTGCGGCGCTTCCTGGTGTGTTCGCTATGTAGGCTACTACCCTCTAAGAAGCTAACGCCACCCATGTTTCTTATGTTTCTTACCACTCCTTTCTTTCCCTCACCTTTATTTTTCTTTTCTTTCCCCCACTCTTATTTTCTCTCTAAGTCTATTTTTTATTTGTTTTTCCTCTTTTGTACTCTTTTCATACTCTTTCTTTCGAAAATTTTTTTTCTTGCATGTGACTCTTTTTGCATAAGACTCATTTTATGGCTTGCATTTTCTTTCTTGACTCTTTTTTCAAAACATAAAATGCATTTTCTTTCTAGAAACAAAAAGACACAAATTGTCCCCTCCAAACTTAAGGGAAACAGTGTCCTCACTAGGGAAAGAAATTTTGAGAGAAGCAATTTTTCGCACAAAAAGGACAAGGACTTCCAAAGCAATGAAAAAGTTGAGGTTTCAAAACTAAAAGAAGCAGAACACAGTTTTATAACCGAAACAAAAAGTAGAAAATGATTTTATGGAGTTATCCTAAAACTAAAACTAAACAACCAATCATGCAAACTAAAAGAAAAAAATAACCTATTATCCAAACTATCCTAAACAACATCCCAAAAACTATCCTAAAACTAAAACTAAACAACCTATCATGCAAACGAAAAGAAAAAAAAAACAACCTACACAACCTAATATGCAAACTAATCTAAACAACCTAAAGTAACAAACCTAACATATAAAATCAAGATCCAAATATCAAAGCAAAGAGAGGGAGATACTCCCTAGTCATCATCGAAAGACTCATCGTCGGTGGACTTGGTAGGAAAACGGAAAGAAGATGGTAAGTCGGCTGCAAGCTCATCTGGGAAAGAAGGTGCTTGATCACCATATATCTTTTTGAGGAACTCACATGTGGCACGTTGAGAAACCAAAAGAAGCTCGTACTTATGCTTAAGCTCATCATATTTCTCCCTAGTCACCACCCCTCGGGTCTCGGGATTCGAGGCGATAATGGGAGAATCTTCTTCTCAAACAATGGAATATCCCCGAACTCTCCTAAGGGATGTGACCGGCTTCTTGGGCGTCACTACATTTGCATCATCGGTCTCTACTCCCGTCTGCAAGCATAACTCAGTTATTAGTCTAGGAAAAACAAGAGGACCTACCATTTTCTCGGAGCAACTTCGTATATCGTTTTTTATGAGCTCCTCGAAGTTGAACTTAATGTCTTTCATGAGGATGTACACCATCATCGTCGTATTGCGCTTAATGGACGAATCGTGAGAAGTGGGGATCAATCGATTCTTCACCACATACGTTCAAACCGTTGCTTGCTCATTTAATGTCGAGGGGCTTTAAGGAAAGCTTCCACGTGGTTCAGATGGTCCAAGTCTTGTGTGGTCTACAAATAAGTCTACGTGCCTCCTCCACTTACTCGCCGGATGGATGCACCAAAATTTCATTACCTATGGCATTAAAAACATCCAATAAACCATATTGAGTATTAATAATGGAAGGCGAGAATTTTACCACTTTAGCTCGTACTCTCACTATATCTCCTCAGTTTGGTTGATGGCATCATAAAACTCCTTTACCAATGCCTCGGATACACGCGTAGTTGGGGCAAACAACGTCTCTCGACCATTCTCCGCAAGCCTCTTCCTAACATATTCTGGCACCGGCTCTTGGGCCTCATCAAAACCCCTCTCAAGGAGGATATCACGTGCTGTGATGTTGGGCCTTCACACCTCCAATCTCACCTTTTTTTACTCTTGATGGTGTTTGTTCGGTAAAATCGGGCTCCTCTTCATTGGCCTTCTCAAGTGGCTCTTCTACCCTTCTTTTCAGCCTAGCCCTCTTGGCTTTTTTAGATGGACCAGCCTCGGCTTCTTTTTGTGTAGCCAAACATGCTATAGCGGCTTGGGTTCTAGGCCTAGAAACTCTTCCTAATTTCTTTTCACAGTGAACTTTTTTATTAACCCTAGCATCATTAGATTCCATATTGACCTTTTCATAATTTGTACCACCTATGGATAGATTTCTCCTAGGGTTCATTCTTATAACTTCCTCATATTTTCTTCTTTGTTCCCTAGGATCAAAAGCTAGCTTTTCATGAGAAATCCTAGGAGGTTCAAGAGGAATCATACCCGGTTTAGTTGGTGGAGGCAACAACACTTTCTTCTTCTCCTTCTCTTTGTCGTATGGCTTGGAGGAAGACGAACCTTCCATGATTCTTGATCTTGCTTCACGAACAACATGAAAAACCCCCTAATAAACCCTAAGTGTGCCGAGAAAGAGAGAGAAGAGAGAGACTTTGAGATTATTTGAAGATTTCTTGAGAGAGAATTTGAAAACAAGTGAGAAAATCTTGGTAAAAATCGTGAATGAGGTGTTTTGAAATCCTAGGGCTTTTTGTTCTATGTTTTAAAACATATTAAAAACTTAATTGGGTTTAAAATCGGGCCTCTTTTAGATTTAAAAACAACCCAAAGCCCATTTAAACATAATCAACATAAAGCCCACGAAAGCCATTATCCATAACTCAAAAATCGATTTTTTTCTCTTAAATTGCGCCCGACGCAAATTTGACGAGGGTCGGATCTTGATCCTGCAAAATTCAAATGCAAAAACAAAAATTAGATTTGGAATCTACACAAAAATGCCTTAAAGAAAATGTAAAAATTTCGCAAAAAAAAAAGACAAAAAATATTTTACATAAAAATGCCCCCCAAACTATCCGAGGGACTGTTTTCACTGTTTTCTCATTGGTCTTTCAGTAATACAGAAGTTTTACCTCTGTCAATATACTCACCATAATATTTCTTGACCCGATGCCGATTTACCTTAAAGATATTACCTTTGGAACCCCTTAAATCCACCGTTCCATGTGGATAAACATGTTCAACAACAAATGAGCCCGACCATCTAGACTTAAGCTTACCTGGAAACAATTTTAATCTAGAGTTAAATAGCAAAACTAAGTTTCCAGGTTCTAAATTCTTGTCCATTATCTTTTTATCATGCCACTTTTTGGTTTGTTCTTTATACATCTTGGCATTCTCATAAGAAAATTGACGAAATTCATCCAACTCATGTAACTGGAGCAATCTCGCTTCACCTGCAGCAACATAATCAAAATTTAGTTTCCGTGTAGCCCAAAATGCGCTATGTTCTTGCTCTAACGGAAGATGACATGTCTTACCAAAAACAATGTGATATGGGGACATGCTTAACAGAGTTTTATAAGCAGTTCTATAAGCCCACAAAGCATCATCAAGTTTAATAGCCCAGTCCTTCCTATTCACAT